ATTATATTATTAAAGAATTCTGAGTGCTCCATGCATTTCGTTTAACGAAYAGTTTTGCTAATAGACTCATTTTTAGTAACCATAGCTTTCAATTTATGTATTCATTTACATTGGACACGCATGCGCATTATTTCTTTTTTCAAGCGATTGAATAAAGAGTTCTATCATTACTTTTATTACAGTGAATTTTACATGCATAAATTTATTGGTAAGAAGATGGTGCGATTAGGAGCGAATTTCTAGACTGGAATGGTCTGGACAAAGAGACTGCCTCATAATTGGTTCAAAGCAYCTTCAGTCTACCTTTTCATGGCCATCCGCCTGTCTGTTCACCATGGTTAACAATGTCTTCTGCGGCTAAATCTCTGAGTGGGAAATTGAAAGAATGAGGAAAGARCGACTTCTTGTAGGAAGAAATTGGAGMAAAGCAAAGAAAAATGATGCATTCGAGTGGAGCTGMCCAAGTCCGAAAAAGTGCTATTCAGTCACCCGGAGTCTGTGTATCACATGAATGGAATGGAAYGGAATGAATCTTTATTTAAAACCACGGTAAAAAGTTACATCAGTCAATTAAGSTAATCATATATATTTTAAAAATTTACAATCATATAGATAATATATATATAAATAGAAGAAAAAGAAAAAGAGCCGCACTGTGCTCGCTTTGCCGACGTAGATCCCAAGACGAGGAAACCGAAGGTAGGGGCTATATTCACTATCCACTCCATATAAGTAATCTTGAGTTTTTCTYAAAAATAGCTAAATGGACGGTCATCAAACAAATTCAAGGAGATTTGATATACTACACGATTTTTCAATTTATCCTAAAGCCCAGTCGTCGTACCGAAAATACCAATGCACTGTTACACATCAGAATTACATATCAACGAGTTTGAACCGACAGCAGCTCAACTCGTTGTGCTCGAACAAGTGCAGCYTTTGAAAAATCTGACCACACTCTACTGCGGCTCCGTTTTTTCCTGCGCCATCTTGAAAGGTAGCCGTGCCTTTGTATCGAAGCGAGACAACCGTTGAGCGTGCAATGATAGAAACCTTCTGTCACACCTACAGACAATAATTCATAGGTTTCTATCATTGCACGGTCAACGTTTGTCTCGATGTAAAGGCACGGCTACCTTTCAAGATGGCGCAGGGAAACGTGAAGGAGACTATTGTGTACTGTCAATAATAAAGTTTCCAGGAAATTGGAAACAAATTATTGAATCTCAAGGTTCCGTTTTGCACGCAAGGACACTTAATATGTTTTGACTGAACACCACATTTTGAAAAACAAACCAGTGTTCATCTGTACGAAATTTCATTTTCCGCAGCCCTAAATCTATTCTTTTAATGTTGTCGAGTTAACTATCCCACTTTGTAACGTTTTATTAATATTGAAGCTTGGAATTTTATCGACTTATCTGTTATACTGGTCGGTTACGACCTTAAAATGTCTTTACTGGCTTCCTATTCATTCGACTTCTACTTATTAATTTTAAACTGTTAATATTGTGAACGATGTCGCACCAATGGTCATAAAAGCTCCAGATGAATCAGCTTTCTTGTGCAAGTATTGGTTTTGTAGTCTTTTTGATTAATGAAAAACAGTTGTCGAGAGTTTTTTTATTTGCGGGTATGTTACTATGGTTGTGGTCATGACAGCGTACTACGTAGCCAGGCGTTCATAGCCGCTCCGAGGGAGTTTGGGCCGGATAAACTTTCATTGTTTCTCAAGAAACTCTCTCGGAGCGGCTAGGAACGCCTGGCTACTCGGGGTAATGATTAAGGTTAACGATGATGACGATAACATAGGTGATAATAATCATTATTATCATATAATTATCTATGAAATGCCTATATTTCTCCATTACGTAAAATTGATATTTTCACTAATGAAGGTTCAAGGTTAAATTAAAGGTTTCTCTATATAGTGGAAGAAAGAAAAAAAAAGGATTTTACAACATAATTTGCTTTCATATTTAATTAAAAGATAGACAGATAAACAGAATATTACATGGTCGCTTGGAGATACGAATTTTATCTTCTCGTGTTGAAAATCTCTCACTCGTGAGAGATCTTTTCAACACTCGAAGATAAAATCCGTATCTCCGCGCGCCCATGTAATATCCTCTATTTATTTGATATCAATATTATGATTTTAATCAGTTTTTGTTTGATTAATCTTCTGATTGTGTTTTCTAACTAATAAAGGGTCAAGATCAGCTGATGTCCCTTACGAGATTGTGTTCATGTTTTATACAAGATACATCGAAATATAAGCAAACCTTTTCTCTTTCTTATCCCTTTATGTTATATGAATGGAGATACTGAAAGATTCGAGCTTAAAACCGACGGATGGAAACGGATTGTGAATAGATATTTAAAGTCAACTTATATTCCATATTTGAAATTTCKAAAACACGACCGCATTGAATGCTGGTGACCCCCAATTACAGTCATTTATCGGTATATGTCAAACGTAGTTGCTATTGAATGCTAGTTAAGTACTGATCGATCATCAATCACTCTAATCGGAAAATGTCCACAAAAAACCATCTCAGACAAGTGAAAGTTTGTACAACGAGGTATCTTGGCAAAAGCTCGTTATTGAGTTTATACTATTTTATTTGAGGAGTTTTTAWAATTTGTTTTAATTGTAGAAGTAATTTTTTCAATTTTTCTATCGACGAAAGAGACTTGTGGTTATTCACTTATAATCAAAATAGTTTTTTCAGCGTGTTTATATATATATCTATATAAGGGTGCGATTTGCCGTGTTTGTATAAAAATGTATATTAAAACGCTAGGAAGTTTTTTTACCTTTATATATTCATTGTATTTTTCGATGTGAAGACTGGGGGAAATATATAGTTTTATTATGTATTGAATAAACTGGAAGAAAGCTGGAAGCATTAGCACAGAATATGATTTCACAACAATTTTAAATAAAGTTTTCCTCACAGCGTGTATGAAGAAATGAATTGTTTAATTTAGAGAAAAAACTCGAAATTAAAAGTTACACAAAGGGGAAAATTGAAAACCATATCAAAACATGTTGAATTGCCACGAGAATTATTTTTACTTAAATTATTATAGCTTCACCTTGCATCCCGCAAAATATTAACAAAAACGTCTAAAACATAAGGAAAAGACAATGCAATGGAACAGCAAGATAGCCTAATAGATGCACATTCATATTCATATTTCAAAAACATTGTTTAACTGCAAGCACTTTTAAAAAGTGTGCGACTTTAAGCACTATTTATCGATAAATAGTGTTGATTGAGCAATAGAAAACAATAAGATTAAAAATGAAAAAATTTCAAGAGAAATAACGAAATTGCAATACGCAACTAAGAAGAAGATAAAAAGAAAAGAAAAAAAAGGAAGGGAATGAATAATAACTTAAACAAACTTAATTCATAGAAGGTGATACGATAAGAACTCAATAGAAAGCGGACGAAAAGGAAGTAAAGTGAGGCAAAAGAGAAAAAGTTAATAAAGTTAAAGCAAAGAAAAGATTGGGAAAAAAAGGGGGAAAAAGTTGATCTCACAAAAATGTACAGTGTTTGGCGCAGGGTTGTTCATATTGCGAAACTATCAAACTTACAAAAGACACAATCAATTATCTCCCCCTATCATGACCCTGGCTCGATATTCATAGCTTACCTTACAAGAATTACATACTCTATCTTCTTTTCCTTAGATGAAAATCGATTTTATGAACTTGAAACTTGCAGCAAGTAATCCAGCGTTGTTTGTCTGACATTGAGAGAGAATTTGCATCAGCGGAAACGACAGGTACTCTAAATACATTATATTATAGGCGCTATCTTTGCTCTGATTGGATGAAGGCGTGCAATTTGTCAAAAATCAGGCTACCTAGAGATTAGAAAATCCGTTATCATCTAGCCAATTTCGAGCTACTCTGTAATTTGCGGTTTACGCTTGCAACGCCTGAGAACTTTTTGACATAAAATAATATAAAAAAAAAAACGGTAAAGTAAACTGCTACGCAGCTCTGACAGGAAAAAGGTAGCTAAAATGAGCGCAACGTCGGCTCCGGAAGATTTTTTATGGTTAAAAAGATTACCCCTGTTAAATATCATCCATTTCTTTCCTTTAAAGTGTTCTTATAACATGCAAACTACTTGGTTTAGAAGTTCATACTTCGGAAGCAATTTGTGATGAAAAACAACAATTGAATTCGGTTTTCGAAGATGTAATCAAGGAACCAGCCCAGACCGGATACACATGCCTTTGCCTTGATTATTCCGGATATTACAAAATAGTGTTTAATCTACATCATTATTTTGCTCCACGGGAAATATTTTGGTAGTGTCTTACTTTGGACTTCCTGTGTAGACTTAGGCGCGCGGTTGGGGATGCGTAAAGGCGCATAACAAAATTAACCCAAAACGAAACATTTCCTCTGGCCTTAACAAAACCATTATTTTGTTCATTTCGTGTTATTTCCAAATATAGAAAAAACTTGAGCTTCAGTATYCCGTATTAAAGAGGTTTCTGTAATATTGAGTTGTCCATGAAGGTAAAAACGTCCGTAATATAGAGGCGTTCGTAATACAGAGGTGTCYGTAACATGGAGGTGTCCATAATTTRAGGTATCTGTAATATAGGCGTCCGTCATGTAGAGATTCCCGTAATATAGAGGTGTTTCTGTCCGTAATTGAAGTTTTCACGCAATATGGAAAGTCTTTTACACTAGTAAGGTGATCGTAATATCGAGGTAATATAGAGGAAATATARAGGTAATAAAGACACATTGGAAATAGAGGTACCTGTAGAAGTGTCCGTAATAGATTTTACATTTCAACCGGAAATAGTGGATTATTGCTATTAGTGATGGAGCGCCGGAATTCAAAGATGCCTCACCAGCAAGGACTTGATGCTATCTTTGATATTTTCATCACAGTAAGCAGTTTTATTTATAGCACCTATGTCTAAAAATAACCCAGAAATGACGTARGTTCGAGTTTGATTTTAAAACTTGATGATTTGAGACGTTCCAATATTTATTAGAGGCGTAATTTTACTTACATCTTTGTATGAATCAATATATATGAAATACATCTATAATAAGTCTAGTCATCCCACGATAACAAAACTATGCAACCAGAWTTTTTTATGCATAAGGAAATGTAAAACTGACTTTTCTATTTCATTATCACAATTTCGAAATCCCAAATGCTTTATTTTCCTTGCTTTAGCCTTCGAATCAGACGTTTTCGAAGAGAACAGAACCGCGCTAAAAGTGCATGCTACATAGGCTACTTTTCCTTTTCACTATTGTCAGACTTTCGTAACCAAGTCTGTGTTCCGAGCTTCGAAACTTTCAAAAACAATTATATTCGCTAGTGAGATTAGTTTTAACCACTACAGTCAGAATACAGSCACCTTTGAGTCTAGAGAACGCCCGGTAATAGGAGAAATTAAAATCATTTAATACAAATGTGTTGGGATGTTTCAGAGTGTTTCCGTGTCCAAAAGTATTTTTCTTCATTATTTGATAATACCTAGAAGTACGTTTTTGCATCGCGTCTATTTCAGTGTAGTGATGTATTTGTTCCTGGGCATACCTATCACTAGGTAGTACCTGAACGTACCTTGATTCGGTCATAAGAGAAAGTCAGATTACAACATCAAACATTTTACATTTTAGACACCATATTTGATTACATGGGATGGAGTTTGAAGGCGTTTGGTCACCTTCTTGGATGGTGCATCAAACATGTTGGATATAGAGTTTGAAGGCGTTTGACCATTTGTTTGATGGTGTTGGATGTTGTTGGATGGTGCATCAAACATGTTGGATATAGAGTTTGAAGGCGTTTGGCCATTTGTTTGATGGTGTTGGATGGTGCATCAGACATGTTGGATATAGAGTTTGAAGGCGTTTGGCCATTTGTTTGATGTTGTTGGATGTTGTTGGATGGAGTTTGGTTACCTTGTTCGGTGATTTTAGAGGTTGGTTCAACCATCAAACATGTTGGATGGAATTTGAAGCGTTTTACCACCTTTTTGAAGGTAGTTGGATGTTTTGCGTTGAGTTTGAAGCGTCTGCCCATTCCAGGCTTGTCAAATATGTCAAATCAGAAATAGTAACTTAATTTGTCAAATAAGGTTTTGGCTGAACAACTTCGCAAAAATTAGACATCATAACAAAAACACTCTGAAGAAATTAAATATGGTGTCTTTAAGAAGCTTCATCCATCCAACATGTTTTAGTTGTAATGAAATGCCTGTGAAACGATTGCTTAACGTTTGGCTTTCGGAACCAACTGCTGTTCAATGATGCATTGGGGAAACCAGGAACTGGTTATATATAATAATAAAGCATTTATGGGTCGACCAATATGTTTTTATGCATTGTTGGAAGAGTGATAAAACAATTCCTGGAAGAGTGCTAAACAAGTCCTCTTTGTCCTAGCCGGGGGGTCGAAAAAAGCGTTAAGAGCCATCAAATCAAGTGAGCATACTCTGCGAAGAGATTTTCGGCTGGGGTAAAAAAGTGGTCTTTTCACAGAGTATCGTATGAGATGGCTTCACGGCGTAATAGTTCAGCACAATATTGGATTGTGTTAATAACTTTCGCTTATTTGGTTTCGTAGGTAGAAGCGAACTGGCGATCATTTATTTTTTCTGACTAATGATCAAACTCACTTGAGCTATATTCACGATTTCTTGTCGCGAAAGGTTTGTCGTGACTTATGATTCCTAATGCCCWAACTAATTTATGATTCCCAAACTTCAAATTTAAAYTACGATATTCCTTCAAATTTGAAAGCAGTGTTTCATGAAACTTCATATGTTCTGATTCCGTTCGCATTTCCTTTTTTTGAKCGGGGATGAACAAGTATTAGCAAGCTCTAATAAAGTTAAAAAATTAACAAAGTGGTTCTATATCTTTTTCCTACATGATTGCCTTGAATTCTCATCCCGGTTGAATGCGTCCGTCGTTTAGTGCTCTATACTGAGCGAAATTAATAATCACAATTGAGTTCAYAGAGAGAGAGCACAGTTCTACTATTGTTTGATGGTTTTAAGATACTAACTGTTACAACTTCGACGAGTCTTCCCACATTTATCAGTAGAAGTTTACAAAAAGGCTTGTAAGATGCTTGAAGAACATACAATTCGCGTGTCGCGTACAAAATTATGTATTTTTAAATCTTGTTGCCAAAGAAGAATTGTTGATTGGATTTGCTACTGCGAATAATTGTATTTTCTTTAAAGATTTGGATATAACCAAATCTATCAAACTTGAATTAAAAAAAAGCTTGATGGATAAATAAAAAAGCTTGTAAACTTTTCATCCTCTTAGCATAAATAGGCTCTCACGCAAGGTGTATATGTTCTACTCAAAACGTCGTATTTGTTATTGACTTACCAATGACTTTGATCCTTTGGACTAGTGACTTCCCATGTTGTCTTGGTCATCTGTTTAAGCTAACTTAACTACTGCATAGTCAACTGTAATTAAAGCAGCTGAAAACATTTCCATTTTTATGAGAAAACCGATTGAAGCGTAAATGACAGCATCCTGTTGTTGTTCATTGTTTCATTCAAACTTGTGCACCCTGCGTTCACGTGGATAAATTGCAAGAGTTATAAAATCATGCATTACTGTTGGCTATTTAAAACCACCATTTCATTTCGGAATTCGGAATTGACAACGGAATTTTTAGAAGCTAGTCATGACCGTTACCCCAGTTCATTCGTCATTCGTCTTAAAACAATAGTACTTAGAAAACAATTCTGAAAATGTGAAAAAACAGTTCCCCTTTATAAAACTCGTTTAGACTGGTCAACAAGATTGCTTTATGAGAGCGTAAAGMACACGCACAAAGTTCATTTCACATTCTATAATATGAATAAAAAGCTGTTTGAAAAATATGTTTGTTAAAAAATATATTGATTATGTTAAACAAGATTATTCAGCGAGCACTCATCATGTATTCCTGATATTTTTTTTGAGAATTCACTGTTTATTGCTGGCTAATGGATAAACTTGGTAGGCTTTGGTTTCATGTGCTATTTCATCATATTCTCGAAATCTAATTGCTGTTGAAAAACATATATTTTATTATGATAGTGTTATTTCAGTTGCTATGCAAAGATGCCTACGTCATGCCTGACATACTTGTTCCAAGAACACGGCTTGATATGATATAGTGCTCTCAGTAAAACTACTGTCTCGTGCCTTGACAATTATCATGTTAAAACCATTTCCTCTTGTGAAACTTTATCATCTATTATATCACGAGACATGAACATCCTTTGAAGTAGTGAGAGCAGGTGTTCTGTAAGATGACATCATCATCAAAATATCTATCATATCCCTAACCTGGAGCATGTACTATTAATTGCAATATACTATTTTCAAGCATTTTGGCATTGTTTATTTGCTGCACAACGGAGTATGCACTCAMTTGAATAGCCATTGGTGGGTTCAAGCCATAGAATTCAGGCTCAGGCTTCACTTTACGTCAATACCGGTTATCTATGAAATACCTATATTTCGTTCAAACTTTCGAAAAGTTGGAGGTTTCTCTACTATATTGGAAGGTCTGGAAGTAACAAAAAAGGTTGAAAATGCAAATGCAGCCATACTACTGGAAAAGATGCCAGAAAAATCTGACTAACAAAAAATTTATTTTACGAAAATATTCTGTTTATCATATATGATTAYATGATGAATAGAATATTACATGGTCGCTTGAAGATACGAATTTTATCTGAGCATTAAAACTCAATAATTCGGCTTATTCATACGCTTTTAGCCTATTTGGTCACATGCCTGATACAAGTAGCCCTTATCTAATAGTTCTCTTTATATAAAGAGTATTAATAAAGATATCTGTGTCTTTATTTTACTTAGAATATAATATTTTAACCTTATAAAAGGTTTTGAACTAGTCTTTGGCTATTCACTATATTCGAGTTTCGGSTTTGTTTTATCGGACCCATATCAAAGAATTGTATGTCATTCGTGCTGGDTCCCTGTGCTTTTTAGTTTTGGGCTTCCTTTAGCAAATCCATGCCATATATGGAAACAAACAAAATGGCCGATTGTCGAGAAGTATTTTCGYTATAATATCTGCAAGTTTCAGACGATTTCACGCTTTAAAAGTCGAGAAAATCGCCAAAAACCAGTCCTATCGTACTTCTATATGGCTGTTAAATGAATGACAACTTTTCTGGGGCAATTCTTAGATATGGTGTGTTCTTATAACTGATAAAACACTCTTTCGTTTTCAATACAGCGAAAAACACTTGGTTTTAGAGAGTATGTCAATATCTCATCCATACTTATCAATAATTACATTTCAACTTTCTACATTTTCATCTTCGTGTGAGAAATTTCTCCCAGACCGGTAAAGTAACCTGCTCATGATGAAGATTTGATGTCTTGTACTCCGTATTAAGCTGCGTTCATAATGTATACCCCTGTGGTATACATTATGAACGCAGCCTTATGATAAACGGATTGATGCTGGAGTTAAAAAGTATTAGCTCCTGAAATCGGAGCTGTTTTTTTTAAGATTTCTTTTTTGTTTCGAAGGCGTTCTCCGACAAAAATGTTACAAATGTGTGATAAATAAGGTTGGGTATCCAACATAAGAAAAGAATTGACCGTGACTGTCTTGAGAGCTTTCGTTATTGTCTTGCGTGGTTTAAAGAAAGTGGACCTAAGTAAATGCTGGTACCCGATTCTTAGCCTAGATTCGCAGTTCATTTTGCAGACGCTAGCTGCATGAACAAGGCTTGCAATACAGACTGTCTTTTGAATTTACTTCACAATGGCTTCAATCTCTTTTTGTTTGTTCTAACGATGTAATTGTCATATTTCTTAACATCAGACTTCTCGACTTTTAAATCTTTGAACATAGCTCGATACAAAAAAAAACAACAACAGTGTCCTTCCTTTTACTTCCGATGATGTTATAACCAATCTGTCGTCTTTCAAACTCTCCAATGAACAATCTAACAACTATCTAACCTTCTCAAGTTTGGCCTAAACCACTCCATACCACCACCGTTTATTAAGAAATCTGATGTTCACGCAAGTTTTGTTGAAATGACTTCTCGACTTCTGATGCTCAATGTTTCGCTTCAAATGGACAATTAAAATTGCACTATTAACGGATTTATGCTACAGTGCTACAAATAAACCATGAATGATCAAAGTAATAATGATGATCCTGTAAACTAGGGAAAAGAACAGACTGAAAGCATAAATTCGGGTTATAAAATCAAGTAATTTAGGCTATATCAATCCAGAATTTTATACACCTAATTGAAAAAATGTAGTCGTGTTCGGGTCCAAAAAGGTCACATCATAGAAGATAAGATTTTTAATACATTTGCATATATGGTGTACCGTAAAGCAAGTAGAGCTAGAAAGATTAACAGCATGCTAGTCATTTATGCTGGAGAGCTGTTTGTATAAAATTAGCCAAATTGTTTGTCTTCCCAACTACCCATTCGGTCTTATCTTCTATGATTTGACCTTTTTGGACCTGACAAAGTTTCTTCAATTAGGTGTATTAAAAGACCTAAACTTGTAAGAGTCAAACTGACCATTTTCACTTGACATAGTCTGTCATGCTTTGTTTAGTATAGCGATTCTTTTAAAATTCTTAATGTATTTATATATTTACTAGTTTATTTTTTATGTCCTTTATGCCTTATCAATTTTGTAATCAAATGTTCTTGCTGTTGAGGTAAATGATCTGGTTCCACCAGAATCTCTAAAATCCCAAAAGTACAAACCGAGGGAAAAGTAAAACTGCTGCAATTTTTTAGACAAATAGGAATAAGTACAAATGACATAAGTTGATGATTTATTCACAAAGATCTGACATATAAAAAGCTCTTTTTGATTGAAATTCAAAGTTAACGGTCTTACCTGAGCTCGGAAAGTTCTGACATCTCTAGGTAGATATTCTTGCGAAAGAATCCTTCGTCGTTCCACTGGAAAAATCGCGCTCTTTACATGTAAAGGTTGTAAATTTGATGTAAATAAAAAGTGTCCAAAATTCTGTAAATTTGTTCTAAATCATTTACATCAAATTTACAGAATTTTGGACACTTACATCATCAAATTTACAACCTTTAAAACGCGCGATTTTTTCCAGTGTTCTAAGGAAACATGATAGAGGAAAGGAGCATTGAATTCAACGTGATCTTTRCGATTCCAAATGAGTAGAGTGCATGTCACATGATGAGAATGAAACAATTCTTAACTATTTGGCGCCTAATAAGATTTAGTTTTCAACTAACTAAGAATTCAGTGAGACATAAACAGGACATTGGCATTGTGTTCCTATTTTAGATTTTTGTTGGTTTAATGCCCTTTCCGAAATTCAGTAAAGCGTCTGGCAACGATTATGAAAATACCACATGTGTACTTATGAAAGGCCTTACTACAATTAGTGACATTTTCAAGTTTGATTCCCTTTGGTTGAACTCAAAACTGGTGACATTTTTTTTTAATTTTTAGAAAATGGATGTTTTTTGTTCTATGCGCTTCCAGCTCTGAAATAATTTAGTGTCGCAACTATTCGCTCAAACCAGGTAACTATACTTTTTTTGGTTCCCTTTTTGATTGCTTCAAACTGCAACGAGATTCTGACTCTGGATCTACCAGTGCCTTAATGAATTTCGGAAAGGCCAGATAGAATTGTCACGTTGAACGCGTTAAATATCGAGAAGACAGTCTGAATTTTAACAAAAAATAAAATAACTCATTATCATTAGATTGTCACCTGCACGTAAGATGTGACTAATATGTCTCTTCTGCGTTTTATTTTGTGTTATTGTACCTTATATGGAAATCAGATAACAATACTGTCTTTGAGCTACGTTATATTATTTCTTGTTATAGTATTTTATGTTATACAATTTCATTCCCATTGCAAACACTGAAGACGATCTAACACAAGCTCCTTTCAATTGAAGTTCGAGTTTGATTGACAAGCCATAAAGAATGTAGTTGGTCATGCTTATGAACCAGCTTCAATCATTCAAATTAACGATTTGCACTTGGGAGGACTGTAGATATATTCCTGCGTCCTTTGTCGTACATTAACTCATTATGGAGGAAGGTAGCAATGGATTCAAAGTGACCTTCGCGGTTCTGATAGTGATAACTATCACTGGTAATTCTCTGGTTTGCCTTGTAGTACGTCGCTTTCCATTCATGAAAACACCAATGAACTATCTTCTCGTCCATCTTKCTCTATGCGATATGTTAACAGCGGTTTTTCTTTTCCCTCGGTTTGTACTTTCCGGATTTTACCAGCATCCAAGCGGTCCTCTRGGGGACTTCCTTTGTAAATTTGTAACTGATTCAAGTTTGTCGTGGCTAACAACATATACAGGTCTTTATAATCTAGTCGTCATWGCGTGGGAGAGATATAACGCGATAATAAAGCCACTTGCTCCAAGGTTCTCCAACACGAGGCTCAAGGTGGTCATTGGAATATGCTGGTTGATAGGCTTCCTGGTTTGGCTTCCAACGGTGGTGTCTCTTGCTTACAGCCCTCCTACCAAGTCTTGTGAAGTATTTTTTAAAGCCCCGTATGGCKCCAAGGTGGACTCYCTTCTGTTTCTRATCGTGGGTGGCATTSTRCCATCWCTCATMATGATCGTCCTGTACAGTRGAATTGTKGGAAAGCTTTGGTGGTCCAGCGAAGACAGGAATGGAAATGTCGCCGAACGATCACTTCTCAAAGCGSGCAAGAAAATAACGACGTCTCTTATCACAGTGACGCTTGTTTTCTATGCTTGCTGGATGCCCAACCTGATCTACTACCTCATTATTGCCTTTT